ATGGAATCGGCTTATTAACCCTTAGCTTCTTAGTTCGAATCGGTTAGTTATAAATAACCCAGACTGGTTTATGTCCTTTTGATTTTTTTGTCGGGATCACATTGTACAGATTAATTACCTAATAAACACCTTCAGATCGATAGTGATTATAAAAAATAATAAAATAAAATAAAAGTCCACATTACCTTTGATATTATCTTAAAAGGGGTTAACTTGGAGGATAGCCTAATATATACATACACATTTCATACATTTGATGTATAGTTGGCAAGCGTTACTTTGACTCAAGTCGGGCCTGGAATGAGTCCAAAACTACAAATATACTCCGTATTATATTACTGCAACAGGCATGCACCTGTCACTTTATATATCCTTTACTCTTCTCATTTTTAGTGTGTTTTTATGCCTTTCTTCTATTCTGAGCAAAATTCATTCCATAAAGGAACTGTATTATTTTACGCAAGCTTTTCAATAGTATATATTACGCAACACTCACACTTAAATAACAAAAAATAAATAAATAATTGTGGGGCATGTATTAGCAGATGATATGAGTGCCTTCTAACTTCGAATCGGAGAATTGGATTAGTGTCAATTAATGTATGATCTTAACTAATGGGTTATGAAAACTTGTGATTAGATAAAAAAAATAAACAAAAAAAAAGAGAATATAATACATAATGTTTACGACTGTCTACATACAATCCTTATGAATAACTATTCACTATATAAGTTGGAGAACTCATTCTTGAATCGAATAGTATCCTCATGCATGAATAGTAAAATGCACTCACCTCGAAAATATTATTGTGTTAAGAATCTCACATCTATAAAATAAGAGAAAACATATGAATTTATAAGACTATATATAAGTTAGACTAACTAATTGGTTAGATTCAATCATTTAATATGATTTGGTCCATGTTCACTATAGCCCAACTCGTTTTAAGAAATACTTAATTTATTTTTCTGTTTTTTATCGATCAAAATATCAATAAAAATAACATAACTAAAAGACATACCCTCGGCCAGATCCAAATTCAAGTACCGACTTTTCACATTAATTACAAGCTTCTCTTGATGTACGAACCTTCGTGACCACCACGTACACTCCACTCAGATAACATTGTCTGATCGATATGTGTGCAATGCAAGTTGTTTTTGAATGGTTGACTGTACTATGAATATTTAATTCTTTCTAATAATTAATTAATTATTCCGTCATGATATAATAATATATACTCCGTATAAAAAGAAAACAAGAAAAATGGGTCGTAGACACTTGTACGTATGTAGTGGCATGCATGTATACATAAGATATATAGCCAAAAGTCCGAGGAGGAGGGGTGGGGGGGGGGGGGGGGTTACGTTGACATACATGCTTATATACATATATCAATGCATGTGAGATATTGTTCTTGGTTCATCAACTACCCCACATGGTATTGGGCATTATACAAAGGTTGCAGGTAAGGTGTGGCCCTACCATGACCCCTCTACCTTTCACTTTGAAGTAGCATCTCCTATACTTTTGACAAACATTATTTCACCATTATGGTACGTTTTGCCCAAATAATCTACTTTGATATTAGGTATAGTAGCATTACATATATTTAGCCATTATTGCTCGACATTGGTGATGCGTTGCACATATATAATTACATAAGTGTGCCAAACACCTCGTGCTCAGATAACATGTAGTGACTCAACCATATGCGAGGTCATGAGAACGAGCCTCAGTGGAGGCAGTGTTGACTCTTTGTGCTTCAACAGGTTGAGAAAATATAGAATTAGGTTAAATGAAGCGCGGTTGTGTGGTTAAATATGAGCCACTAATCGTGCTTAAATCAACGTACATGATTAACAATCAAATTTAAGGTGCGTGGTTTTTGTGCTTAAGGTGAGTAATTGTTGAAACTTAAGGTGCGTCAACCTGAAACTTAAGGTGCATGGTTTTCCTTATTAAGTGCATTGTTTTCCTTCTTAAGGTGTGTGCATGATTTGTATGCTTAAGGTGCGTGAGTTGTTGAAAATTAAGGGCCTTGTTTGGTAAATGGCTGTTAGCTGATTGGGTTAATTGGAGGGTATAACTAGTTGAAAACATTAGCAGATTGTAGGGAGGTTGTTTGGTAAATTAGCTTATAGTTGTTTGGTATAATTTTTTTTTTCTAAAAAAGCTAATTGAAAAAGCTGCTTTGAGCAGCTTTTTGAATTTTAGTATTTTGGAGTTGATCTTTTAACCAAGCCAAACAATTAATAGTGGTCAAATAAGTCAAAATTGACAGATAGGCCAATATTTACCAAACAGGGCCAAGGTGCGCCATTTTAAAATCTTAGGTGCGTGTTTGTGTTCTTAAAGTGCATGGTTTTAGTACTTAAGGTGTGTTAGGCTAAAGTTTTAGGTGCGCGTATTTATATTCTTAAGGTGCTTTGTTTTGTGTGCTTAAGATGTGTGTGATTTGTGTATTTAAGGTGCGACATTTTAGTACTTAAGGTGCGTCAATTGCACAACCGTACGATTGCCATAATTCTAATAATAATATTATTATTAATTATAAAATACGGCAAATTTCATAACGTGTAAACACCAACCTGCTGGCAACCACTTCATCGTACGTAGAAATCATAAATACATATATTTACTGTTTTACTGCTCCTTGTGTAATAAAAATAACTTCCTAAAAAAAAAGTAGTAAAAATAATTACGAGCCATTTATTGCACACGCGTTTTATTCCTAGCTATTTAATTTAATTATTTATAGCAATTATACGAAAGGTATCGAATATACATATATATTTTTGTCAGTCGGGGCGTGGAGTTCTTACAGTCAAGGTTTAACTTTTTGGAAATAATATATTAATTATCTTTTGTTGTACCAAAATTATCAAATTGGTGTTAATAATATATAGTATAATCCTAAGTGTATACCAAAATTATTACGACCTTAGTGTTGGTATCTTGTAAGTATTTTGAGCTTTTTTTTTTTTTTTTTTTTTTTTGTACATTTCACCATGCTCAATGGGCTAGAGTTCTAGTTGAGTCAGTCAAACTGGTGTTAAGAGTACTTGGTACAATTTTTTTTTTTTTTGAAAGGAAAATATTTCAATAAAATCAAGCAATTAAATGTTCAATACAAAAAGGGATATTAGAAAACCAATTAAGATGACCAGTATGAGAACTAGCAGCTCTAGCCAACACGTGAGCAAGCTTATTCACTGATCGATTGATATATTGATAACATTCTTCTAAAATCAGACTGTCAGTTGGTATGCAAGTTTCTGAATAATGACTTACCAGATCATTCTTATGCAGGTTGCGTTCTCAAGTATTGCCGATCTCTTAAACGACACTTTGAATCAGTACTTGGTACAATTAGACACATTATAATTGATTTACATGATATTATCGACATTGCTAATAATATTGCTATCAAGGTAGAGATAATGTTAGCCGTTGATTATTAATTTAGTAATAAAGAACAGTTAGGGTCATGTTTGGTAGATACTGAGTTTTATTTTTTGTCTTTTATGTACTTTTTAATTATGTTTGATGAAGTTGTAGTTATTGTTGAGCCAAAAGCTTTTACGCTATGAATGCTCAATTAAAAAATATTGACATGATGGTTTTTTTATATTTTTATATTTCCTATTATAGTAATTTTACTCCTAGAGGTAATGTTGGTTGTAGAATTTATTCATTATCTCAAAGAAAAAAAATGAATAATCTCTTTTTCTTGCAGCATCCAATATGCATGCGAAAAAGTAGAGGTTAAGTCACAAATGAATGATCCAATCAAACAGAATGTATGTTGAGTGCAATAATATTTTTCAGCATATAATTAAGTGGAGCACTTTATGAAAACTTTCATTAATTTGCTTGACTAAACAACATATATATAATTTGAGTAAAACAAATAATGTGGATAATATTATTTATACCAAGTTTTTATATTCGAATTATGTATCGTCTAATATCATTTATTAAATTAACCTATAGCAACCCTCAATTAATAAGTACATGTTAAAATGTACATGATAACTTGTGACATTTGATGTAGTCATGTGTGCGATGATGCTTTTTTTTCATATGAAGGAAAATGAACAAATTATAAAAATATTAGATGAAGACAAAATTTGTAAAAGAGAAGAGGTCGTAATAATTAAGGAATGTGTTTCATTTCAACTAAAAATATAAGTTAATAGTTGGACTGCATACTTATATTTATATGTTATTATATGTTCAATAGTAATTTCATAGGAAGAACCACATACTAAATTTGTGTTGTAACATTTATCTAGTTAAATTGGATTGGAATGCAACCTTGATACATTATATACACATTAATACTCATTACATTACATATATAGGAATAACAATTAACTTCAAACTCCGTGAGCAATCTGAATACCGCGCTTAAGCTTGGGTGAAGAGAAAGAGAGGGGGTGGAAGCTTTTAATCCCTTTTGGGTTCATGGTCAATATATACTTTAACACACTCTTTGCCCTATTGTTATTCATAATCATATTTATTGTGATTCATTCTTAATTTTCTGACATTCAGTCAAATTTTTTTAGATGATAATAATGTAAAATGTATCACATCAATCACACGGCTTATCTTTCTAATTTATGACCAATTGTCATTAGAAACTAACAAAATTACTTTGGTGGAACACTCGGTATTTTAAATCGTAACTCAATCTTGTATAATTAACGTGTGTGCGCACATGGTTTGTGTATATATACATACATATACATATATTAAAATTTGTCTATATTGTGGATATACACCAATATTGATTCTACAATTCTACCTCCATTACCCCCTCCCCTTGGGTCTCTCGAAATATTTTAATTGTACCTAGTACTTCTATATTGAAATAATAAAAATAAAAATATTTCCTTTATTTAAAATAGAAATAAATATTGTAAGTTGACCAATTGGGTCGGAGTTTATGACCATTAAATAGAAAATCCGGGGATCCATATTCTTTCCTTCCAAAGTTCAATCGTCCCATTAATACGCTCCGTTTCGGAGCGTCTCCGTCTTGCCTAATAAATATTTTCACGGAGGCGCGTGTCCTCCACCCTCATCAATACTTGCCAAAAGTTCACTCGTCAGCCGCGGCCCCACCGCGTATACTTTTATGTGTATATATATATAACATGTATGTACTCTCTGTATGAGCATATGAATTTGGAAACAATGATCTTATAAGATTGGCAAAAGAAACAAAAAAACGCCAACGATTTCAATTTCTTTCTTCTTCTCTCTGGTTTGGCGGCAATGGCGATTTCGGCTAGGTTGCCGCAATTTCTTAGCGCGAGGACAAAAAGGACTAATCTTTACTACGTGGCGGCGACGACGGTACTCTGTTCTGTGTTTTATCTCATCGGAATTTTGCAGCACGGCGGCTTTTCCGGCCAGCAGATATCGACGGCCGCCCTACTCCCCTCAGTCCCGTGCGAGCCGTTGAATAAGGATTCGACGGATACGACTAATTTGACGTCATCGTCCTCCGCCGTGTCCCTTGACTTCGCCGCGCACCACGCGGCGGAGGACCTTGTGGCGGTGGCGCAGGCGCCGCCGGCGAAGGAGTTTCCGCCATGCAAGGCGGAGCTTTCCGAGTACACGCCGTGCCAGGACACGGAGCGGTCGTTGAAATTCGACCGGCGCATGCTGAAATACAGAGAACGGCACTGTCCGGCGAAGGAGGAGTTGTTGAAGTGCAGAATTCCGGCGCCCTTCGGGTACAGGATTCCCGTCCGGTGGCCGGAGAGTCGCGACTCTGTCTGGTACGCCAACGTGCCGCACAAGCACTTGACCGTCGAGAAGGCCGGTCAGAACTGGGTCCGGTTCAAAGGTGAACGGTTCACCTTCCCCGGCGGCGGCACCATGTTCCCTCGCGGCGCTGATGCTTACATCGACGATATTGGCCGCCTTATCAACCTTAAAGACGGTTCAATCCGGACGGCCATTGATACCGGCTGCGGGGTAAGTTTTTCACAAATCTTATAATTTGTTTAATTTTTATTAATTAATTAAAAAATGAATACTAGTCAACTTTTGCTCCTCTTCAACGAAAATAAAAAAAATTTAAAAATAAAATAAATGGCAGCATTGTGATTTACATCACCATTTTTAAGGTGGGGAATAATTAGAAAATGTTAAAAGATTTTTCTGGTTCTAAAATATGGATAATTAGACAGTCCAGTTCAGAAGACTGCCGACCTGCCATGTCTGAATTTGTCTTCATCATCGTACATCGTATAATAAATTATATTTTTACCATCGTACACTCTAGGTGTGTATTTATATCTTTACATAATTTCATCTAATTTACATATTTTTTTTTTGAAAACAATCTAATTTACAACTTATTTTGCATATTATTGCATTGTGCAATTATGTAGACAAAAAAAAAAAAAATTAATTATTTAATCCTTTAATCTGATGCTGATGTGGATAAAGTTTTGATCTTTTCTTGAATTATAGTGCATATTTTGGTGTAGTTACATCAAGCAATATATATATTTGTTTAATTGGTTGAAATGTTGATAATGTCAATAAAGTTTTGGTCTTCTTGAATTATTATACTGGAGTTAATACCCAAAACAGTTATTTGACTACGCCATAATTCCCCAAAACGGTTAATACCCTTGACTATCAATTTTTCGAAAATGGTTCCTGAACTATATAAAATTTATGCATCCCGTGTACTAATTTGAGTATTAAATTGGAGTAAATTTTCATAGTCGATGGACTATTTTGAATGAATTGGTAGTGAAAGACCAAATTGAAATGGTTCCTGAACTATATAAAATTTATGCATCCCGTGTACTAATTTGAGTATTAAATTGGAGTAAATTTTCATAGTCGATGGACTATTTTGAATGAATTGGTAGTGAAAGACCAAATTGAAAATTATGACATAGTCGATGTACTATTTTGGGTATTATCTCATTATTATAGTGGATATTCTTGTACAGTATATCACACAATATATATAGTTATTTAATTTGTTGATGATGTCAATAAGGTTTTGATCTTTTCTTGATTTATAGCGCCTATTGATATGTAGCTATATCCAGCAAATATATAATTACTTCATTTGTTGATGATGTCAATAAAGTTTCGATCTTTTCTTGAATTATAATGCCTATTGTTGTGTAGTTATCTATATATCTGGCAATATATATAATTATTTAATTTGTGGATGAAGTTTTGATCTTTTTCTTCAATTGTTATGCGTACTGTTGTTGGTTGGAGATAAGATCTAAAATGGACTTCAAAAAATGCCAAAAGAGGAGCTTATAATTTGCTTATTTTCTGGTAAAAGGTTTTAAGCTGACTCATAGTATTATGGTCTTGATATGGACATAGTTGTCTGGTTGTTTTGTTAAGAATCTTCTTACGATGTGATTGCTAAATCAGTGCCGTCTGGTTATCTTCTTGTGTGCCTTGTTTGCAGCAATTGGTATTTCTATAACAAAACGGGTTTGCAGTCAACAGTTTTCTCGTTGCTATTTAATTGATTTTGTGATCGTATGAACACTTTTTCTGTTGAAACAGATTGTGTGTTTGTTATACGGTAGGGTCGGGTTAGTTGAACAACATGATCAGTATCACGACATTTTTGCGTTTTCTTGAGTTAGGATAAATGGTTATTGGCTGGTGAATAAAGTCTCCAGTTTGGTAGCTTTTTGGTGGACTCATAATTGATTACTTGACTGAGACTTTGGGTTTATTCCACAAGCTCATCTTTCCTTCGGTTTCACTTCAAGAATATTGTTAATTGCTAGTAGTTGTTGATGTACTACACAAGGATAAGTCAACAAATTTGAATCTTAACTCGGATTAGTTAATGCTTCCCTAACATATACTCCGTAATTTATTGCCCTGCATGCTTATTTAGAAATTTGGAATGCTCGAGTAATTGGGACTGTAGGGTATTGAGCATTCAAAATTTCCCGACTTGACCTCGTTATTGTTTAAATTCTGGGGATAGAAACGTTTTTGATGATACAACAAGTTTGATGAATCATTTGCTTCTATACAATGTTGAAAAAATCCCTAGGCACCTGGGACCTGTCTTGGGCGCCTAGGCGGGTGCCTAGGAGGCTGACCGCCTAGCGCCTAATCGGTGCCTAGGCGCGATTTTTGCAATACTGCTTCTTTAGGCCTTTATGAAAGATCAATAAGTTTTAATTCGAGTTTCAGAATTTGCTGTTCTTTCTTGAATGATTGCTCGACCTAATTAATTACTTTTGCTATCGTATTTTTGGGATCAATTCCAACGATGCATATTCAGGTTGCGAGTTGGGGTGCCTACTTGTTGTCCCGAGACATCCTCCCGTTATCGTTTGCACCAAAAGACACACACGAAGCTCAGGTGCAGTTTGCTCTAGAGCGGGGAATTCCTGCAACCATTGGCATTTTGGCTTCCAAGCGTCTCCCCTATCCCTCGAGAGCTTTTGACGTGGCTCATTGTTCCCGCTGTCTCATTCCCTGGGGCCAATACGGTAGCCTAATTCACTCGCTCGCCATTTGCTGTTACCTTCCCTTTATGTTTATACTGTTGATTGATCCCGAATTGTTTGAGCAGATGGTCTGTACTTGATTGAAGTTGATCGGGTTTTGCGCCCCGGTGGATACTGGGTTCTCTCGGGACCGCCTATTAACTGGGAAACTCACTGGAAAGGATGGAACAGAACCGAGGAGGATCTAAAGGCCGAGCAAGACCAAATCGAGAGCGTTGCGAGAAGCATGTGCTGGAAAAAGCTAAAGCAAAAAGGGGATCTTTCAATTTGGCAAAAGCCTACTAATCATTTACACTGCAAGGTTAACCGGAAAGTCTTCAAGAAACCATTGTTCTGCCAAAATCAAGATCCCGATAGTGCCTGGTAACATTGTCTTAACAGCACATTCCACATATTCGTCTATAATTTCATATATGATGGACCGACACGTTTAATATCCCAGGTACACAAAGATGGAGCCTTGTTTGAGTCCCCTGCCCGAAGTGTCCAACATAAAAGAAATCGCAGGTGGGGAATTAGCTAACTGGCCCGAGAGATTGACCGCCGTTCCCCCCAGGATTAGCAGCGGCAGTGTTGATGGAATCACAGCGGAAGACTTCAGCAGAGACACCGAACTATGGAAGAAGAGAGTTGCACATTACAAGCGCGTGGATTTCCAGCTGGCAGAGAAAGGCAGGTATCGTAACATCCTCGACATGAATGCTAAGCTCGGAGGATTTGCTGCTGCCCTCGTCGATGATCCCGTGTGGGTGATGAATGTAGTCCCCGTCGAGGCGAAAGTAAACACTCTCGGGGTTGTCTATGAACGGGGTTTGATCGGGACTTACCATAACTGGTAATGGTGGCTTATAACTTCTCGTGGTTTTGCTTAAGAATTTAATGGAAAGTAATAACTAAATATATATATTCTCCAGGTGTGAAGCAATGTCAACATATCCAAGAACCTATGACTTCATTCATGCTGATGGCATCTTCACCTTATACAAGGATAGGTATACAACTATACTAAATATGTAACAATACCATAATGTTTTTCCTTACTCTTGTTGACCTAGAGTCTCACTATCAGCTTTTAGTTGAAACCGAACAAATCTTGGTTCACTATGGCTTTTGGATGACGAGGGAAACCCTGCCTTGTGGTACTAACCGGTTAATGACCACAAGGAGGTAATATAAACCCATTGGCTCAAACCAATAAAGCTAATAGGTCACTTTCACTGGGATTTGAACTTGGAACCTTGGCTGGATTGTCCCGGTTCACTAACGCTTTTAGCAAGCCTTCAGTTTGGTTCACTACCAGCTTACACTTTTAGTTAAGATGAAACACATTTTTCGGTTCTTCTGAGCTGTCATTCGTTTTGACAGATGCGAGATCGAGGATATACTCTTGGAGATGGATAGGATATTGCGGCCGCAAGGAAGCGTGGTGATTCGAGACGACGTAGATATCATGGTAAGTGTTAAGAGCATAGCAGATGGGCTGCAATGGGACAACAGAATGGCTGATCATGAAGACAGTCCTCATGTGAGGGAAAAGATTCTAATAGCAAATAAGCAATACTGGACTGCTGACCAGAATCAAGAAGGGTCAAATGCCAGTTCATAAAATGGAGTTGGTGTTCTAACATTCTTTTCTTATTTTTTGTTGATAAAATTTTTATAATTTTGGTGATTTTTCCTTGACCAATATTATGGCTTCAGCTCCATGTAAGTTATATACTTATATTCATTGCCTTTTCTATTTGTTTCTTGTTTTTGTTTTTTTTGTTTTGTTTTGTTTTGTTTTTTTTGTTTTGTTTTGTTTTGTTTTTGCTTTGCTTCTTAACAGTTACGCATATAATAGCAATTTGAATATATACTATTAAATAATGTACTTTCAATACAAAAATAATATATTTTAAGAATATTAAAAATATATTTTATATTTATGGTTCACATAACCAATCGTTATGCCATGGAATCGTGTTCATCATGGTTCCAACGGTGTTAGTACACCGTTATCTTTTTTTTTTTTTTTTTTTTTTTTTTTTTTAATTAATTGCGTGACTTTTCTTCTTCATTTTCACATTTTGCGGTTTCACTTTAATTTGAGTTGAGCAATGATTTCGGATATTCATAAATTATAAATTCATGCCTGCACATTCACTTTGGAACCATGCCTACACATTTCCGTTCGAAATCACGGACATTCATAAATTATGAATCCATGCCTGCACATTCACTTTGGAACCATGCCTACACATTCACTTTGGAACCATGAGATTATGAATTTTCTGTTATGAGATTATGAATTTTCTGTTATGAAATTATGAATTTTCTGTTATAAAATTATGAATTTTCTGTTATGAAATTATGAATTTTCTGTTATGAAATTATGAATTTACATTACATTCGTAATCTCATAACAGAAAATTCATAATTTAATAAATATTTTATTTTTATGCGATTATGAATTTTCTGTTATGAGATTATGAATTTACATTACATTCATAATCTCATAACAGAAAATTCATAATTTGATCAAACGCGCGCCGTTAACTCCACATCCGTGAATTTATTATTATTATTATTATTATTATTATTATATATATATATTTTTTTTTGCGTAAAAACGACGTCGTTTGGACTTGTGTTCACCATTCACGGTGAACACGTTTCCAGGACATAATTTGCCTCACATAACTATGTGGATCATATTCTACACAATAATTTGCAACCCTAAGGCACAAGAATTGAGCCAAATCTTTTGGACCTGACTTCAGCCCAAAACCTCATGTTAGATAATTCCTTGTCCTGATGAAAATGTTGGTGCATCCCAAATTCTTTACAGCTTTCATCACGCTTCACCCCAGACAATTCATTACAAATTGTCTAAGTTTATCAAAGAACTTCCTTCGCAGTTGTCCGCAAGATTTTGTACTTCTGTCATAATTTTTTTCACCAAGTCACGAAATTTCTTTTCCGTCTAGTGGACATAATGAGTTTCTTTACATGTATGTAAGAATCCATCAGTTAAGATAAAAAAATCTCAAGACAAAACACAACTACAAAATAAATATCAAACCATTTGTCAAATGAGATGAATTGAGACTTGGACAAAAGAAATAATTTCATCACTATTTCGAAACACTTCCAAAGGTGCATGCACTCCAAGTGCAAACATGCAACACCAACTCAAATGTTGTAGCTTATGATTTTGTATAAAAATTCTAAGCATAAGATGAAACCCATCGAAATTCAATCATAAAACGAAAGACTACATTACTAGAATGAAAACCGGCTAATTTCTCACTACGAAATCGAAATATACTTCCATTAATTCCATGGATTCCATTGCATGCTTAAATTTATCACATCATTGTTTTTTATATACTTCTAATCAACATATACCAATGCCGATTGTATCATTGAAACCAATTTACTGTACCATACGAATTAAAACAACGAAACTTTATGTAAGAAATTCTCCATTCGAATATCAACGCGATGCAATGGCAAACTAAGACCTCAAATAAAAACAGAAAAGGAAGAATGCAGAATTTTGGTAAAAAACTTTGCAATCATAAATCAGAATCATCGAGAAGAGAATTTACCAGGCAAGGAGCATTTGATCGGAATACATATATAGACTACTTCATTTGATAAACAAAAAAAATGCTTTGCAGGAATTGATTTGCATTATGTGAATCACAGTCTCAAAACACTAGTAGATGTGAATTAAAAAACTCAAAACAGAAACTGGTACAAACTCAAAAGTCAAAACAGAAGCTGGGCAACAACATATAGACTACTTTATTTTTTGTTTATAAAAAAAGGAAGGGCAGAGCCCCGGGAAGCAAAAAAAAAAGACAAGATACAAGAAAACAGAAGCTCGGCAATACAACAACAGCTCCTAGACTACTTGGGGGTTTAACCCCTCACAGCCCTCACTTGTTAGCTCAGATGCTTTTACCCTAAACAGACTATATTGCTGCTTGAAGATTGCTGGGTAAGGAGTGCTTGAACTTGGGGGAGTGCTTGAACTTGGTGGAGTGCTTAAACTTGCGAGAGTGCTTGTACTTGGATTGCCACCGCTAACACTCAGACGGCTACTTGCTGAGCTCGAACTCAAACTGCTACTACTATGACTTACATAACTGTGATGGTCGCTTGGACTTGGATACTCACCCTTCTTACGATATTTTTCTATATACCCCATTATGAACTCTTTGAAGAGTTCTTCCACATCCAACACATAAGGAGGCTTATCTGCATCTTTCCTAAGTTTTTGGATATCGATACTTCTTGATATAGCAATTTAAACAGAAACTAATAATATTTCATATCTTCGACCTTTCATCACGCTTCACCCCCAAATATTTCATATCTTTCATCACACTTCACCCCAACAATTCATTACAAATTCGCCTAAGCTTATCAAAAAATTTCCTTCTTAGTTGTCCACAGGGTTTTGTACTTCCGCCAGAATTTTTTTCACCAAGCCATGAAATTTCTTTTCCGTCTAGCAGACATAATGTAGTTTATTTCCTTTGATGTAAGAATCCATCAATTAAGATAAAAAATTCTCAAGACAAAACCCAACTACAAAATAAATATCAAACCATTTGTCAAATGAGATGAACTGAAACTTTGACAAAAGAGATAACTTCATCACTATTTTAAAAACATTTTCAAAGGTGCAGACACTCCAAATGCAAACCAGCAACCCCAACTCAAATGTTGTAGCTCATGATTTTGTATAAAAATTCAGAGCATAAGATGAAACCCATTGAAATTCAATCATAAAACGAAAGATTGCATTACTAAAATGAAAACTGGCTAATTTCTCACTACGAAATCGAAATGTACTTCCATTAATTCCATGGATTCCATTGCATGCTTAAATTAATCACATCACTGTTTTTTATACACACTTAATCAACATATACCAATGCCAAATGTATCATTGAAACGAATTTACTGTAACATACGAATTAAAACAATGAAACTTTATTTAAGAAATTCTCTATCCGAATATCAACGCGATGCAATGACTAACTAAAACCTCAAAAAAATGGAGAATGCCGAATTTTGGTCAAAAACTTTGTAATCATAAATCGAAATCATCAAAAAAAGAATTACCAGGCAAGGAACATTCGATCGGAATACATATATAGACTACATTTGATAAACAAAAAAATGCATTGCGAAAACTGATTTGTATTAATGTGAATCACAATCTCAAAACACTAGTAGTTGTGAATTAAAAAACTCAAAACAAAAGCTGATACAAACTCAAAAGTCAAAACAGAAGTTGGATAACAACATATAGACTACTTCATTTTTTGTTTATACAAAAGGAAGGGCAGAGCCCCGGGATACAAAAACAAAAGACAGGATGAAAAAAAACAAAAGCTGGGCAACACAACAACTCCTAGACTATTTGGGGATTTAACCCCTCACAAACCTCACCTACTATCTCATATGCTTTTACCTTAAACAACCTATATTGTTGCTTGAATATTGCTGGGTAATGAGTGCTTAAACTTGGATTACCACCGCTAATACTCATACGACTACTTGCCGAGCTCGAACTCAAACTGTAACTACTATGGCTTACATATCTGTGATGGTCGCTTGAACTTGGATAGTAACCCTCCTTACGATATTTTTCCATATACCCTATTATGAACTCTTTGAAGAGTTCCTCCATCTCCAACTCATAAGGAAGCTTATCTGTCTCTTCCATAAGTTTTTGGATATCGAAACATTTGTTTTTGGATATCGAAACATTTTGATATAGCAATTTCTACTAAACTACTAACAGAGTAGGTCGCATATGGTATCAGAGCACAAAATCACAAGACTAGACCAATACAAAGTACAAATTACTAACTAACTAGGTCTCATATGGTATCAGAGCATATGGTATCAGAGCATATTGTATCATAGTAAAATTACTAACTAACTAGGTCTCATATGGTATCATGACTCTAATGATAAAAAAGAAGCCCTTGTTTGGAATTTGGGATTAGGTAAGGAAAGAAAATGAAGTTGCAAACTCCATGTTTTTATAGTTGGAGATGAGTAGAAAAAACAAAAGGGAGGTAGTTCTATGATCTCTACGTTTTTACACTCCGGAGAAAAAAAAAATAATGGTTTGCTACTCTGCAAGGAGCTCCACGCCTTTAGAATTTTACGTTGGAGGAGAAAAAAATAAGAGTCTGCTACTCTGCTGAACGAAGGTCTCCGCGCTTTTACATCGAAAGAAGAGAGAAAAAAAGCAAACAAACGAGAGGTAGTTGTCGTACGGAGGCGAAGAGTATTAAAGAAAGGATTTTCAATTTTGCCATAATTTTACATTAATATATTGGCCTGATATTTTAGAGATAATGATAAATATGGCATCAATCAATCAATCAATGAAAATAATAATAACTACGTCATTGGGAGTGTAATCATTAATGCGATATGAGCGTAATCTGAATAGCTATCATATAGTATCAGAGCATATTAATAGGAAACCATTTACAACAAAAATCACAAAACTAGGCCAATATAAATTACTAACAGATTAAGTCTCAACAAATGGACGGGCTTGTTCATTGTAAATTTTATTTGTTAGTTTGAGTTTCTTTTTAATTTATTAATTTTACAGAATAATTTTTTTTCATATACCCTATTATGAACTCTTTTTGAAGTGTTCCTACATCTACAACACATAACAAAGCTTATCTGTCTCTTCCCTAAGTTTTTGGATATCGAAA